CTTCCATCTTGAGCAATTCGCAAGACGCGACTTACTTGAGGTGGAAAGTTTGATTTCCCGAAGAAAAAAGTACATACATCAGGGACGATGTAGGATGATATTGGGAAGTAGACTCACCGTGAATCCCATAGATAAAGGTGCAGTAGGGACGAATCTACCAAGTTCAGAACAACCTGAGTAATACTCGCGCCACGAAAGACGTTCTGCCTCATCTTAAATCATGAGAATGACTTTTTGACTCAAATGATAACAAACGCTCACATCCTGCTCCAAATCCTGCTTCGGAAAGATCAACTAAGGAGGCTCCACTAAGGTAAGCACCGATTGCTGACGTGTAACCTTCGTGCCGTAAAAAATGAGCTTGTTGTGTTCCCTATAAGAAAACTACTCAATCAGAACCAAGCAAACGAACATATAGCAGCGCTTAATTAAAACGATCAATTATATAGATAAAGCTTTCCGAAAAATATGTATGTATTTTTCACTCTCAACTCAATTTTTCCTATTTTTTCATACATTCTGATAATCCAGAAGCTTAGAGTTGGTTGGGTTGTCTAAACATGTTCTTACTATAATACAGTACTTAATTTCGAGCCGCACTCAAAAAGCTTTAACGAATGCAAAACCAACGCTCGGAGAGTAACGATGCACCACCAAAAAAGATCATATCCTTGATGAGCCGCGCTTGCGTGAGTGTGGCGAAGGCGACGAGAATTGGTCCCGCACCCGATATGCTTCCAGAGTACGGCTTATGTTGGAATTTAGAGTGTTTCATACTAAATAACGCTTGTACGGGCAATAAGGATCGGCCAATCGAGGGTGCGCGGAAGCGGCGCCGCCGCAATTGTAGCGATTTGCCGTAAGTGAGCTCTACCCCCGCCTCTCCGAGCTTTCCCTCCAAACTTTGACTTGCTTTCTTTGAACTGTGGTATATTCTTCAGATTCAGCAGCAAATGCGCCGGAAAAAGGAGTACCGAATCTAGCCAAAAGGGCATTTGACTGCACACCGCAGCGCATCCGCCGCGTACCTCTATCGGCCGACCCTTACGAAGATGGAGACCTCAGTGTAAAAGGTTTATAAGAGAAATTAATCCATTATTAACCAAGGAAAAAGTTAGGCTGCTCTTTAAGCACCCTTTTGCATTAGATCGCACACATCCACCAACAGAAACAAGTCGCACCCTGAACAATAATTAATCTGAATCCATATCTCTGGTTTCTGCCTTTCCTCCAAGTCTCTCTCCACAATCTTTTTGTTTCCGCAAGTGA